GTTATGGCTCATCCTCAAGGTTTTTCTGGTGGTCTGTGGGTGTTATGGAATGATGATGAAGCTCAGATTCAGATTTTAGAGTCTCATCGTCAGTTTATCCATTTAAAATTTTTTTTGGCGTAATAGGAGGAAGGAGGAAGCTGTTACTTTTGTTTATGCCAGTCCGCGGCGTCTTGAGAGGGTGTCTCTGTGGGATGCTCTAGGAAGGTTACAACAGCAATCCTCGGAGGCTTGGTGCATTTTGGGAGATTTCAATTCTTATTTGCATGCAGCAGAAAAGGAGGGAGGTGGCCCGCCTGATTGGAGGAGTATTTATGATTTCCAAAATTGTATTATGAACTGCAATCTGGAAGACTTGGGTCATCAGGGGCCTACTTTCACTTGGCATAGAGGCAGATTGAAGGAACGTCTTGATAGAGTTTGTGCGAATGAGCAGTGGCAATTGTCCTTTCCTGACAGGGTTGTGACTCATCTTCCCTGCTACTGCTCGGATCATAGACCTCTTCTTCTCTGGGAGGGTCCTTCTCCTCACCATCCTGGAGGGAGCCGTCCATTTAGATTTCTGGCAGCCTGGCTCACTCATGAGGATTTCCCTGGCCTAGTGCAGGAGTGTTGGAATGGGAGTACAGGTTGGGGCACAGCTAGTGAAACTTTTCGATCGAATGCTTCTCACTGGCATAGGGAGTGCTTTAGGGAAGATGCCAAGCTTAAGAATAATCTTCAGGCGAGACTAAGGGGTATTGACCGTAGTCTTAGTCACCATCCTTGCCATGCTCTAGAAATTCTGCAGAAAGATCTTTGGCGTCAGTTGAATCTCATTTATATTCGGGAGGATCTTACTTGGTTTCAGCGGTCTAGGGCTAGCTGGTTGAAATATGGTGACCGGAATACGAAATTCTTCCATTCTACTACAGCTGCTAGGAGGAGGAGAAATCGTATTGATGCTCTGAAAAATGATGCAGGTGATTGGATTGGTGATCCCTCTATTCTGATGAATATGGCGGTGGAGTATTATCGTAATTTGTTTAAAGAGGATAATACTGCTAGACCTGGGCTTCCAATTAGAGGCTATTTTCCTCACCTTGTGCAAGAGCACAACATTCATATTGGTAGCATTCCTTCGAATGAGGAGATTAGGAGTACAGTTTTTTCCATGGGACCTCACAAAGCTCCAGGGGTGGACGGTCTTCATAGTCTATTTTTCCAATCTCAATGGGATACTGTAGGAAGCTCTGTTTGTGATCTGGTGAAAGATGTGTTTAATAATCCCCAAAAAGTTCGGAATATTAATCAAACTCTTATTTGCCTGATCCCGAAGATAACTTCACCTCAATCCCTTAAAGATTTCCGGCCTATTAGCCTTTGTAATGTTATTTATAAGACTATTACTAAGCTTATTGCTAACCGTTTGAAATTGTAGATGGATAAAATTGTTATGCCTAACCAGTGTAGTTTCATCAAAGGAAGGCAAGGGACAGATAATGTAATTATTGCTCAGGAAATTATTCACTCTATGAGGTCAAAGAAAGGCGCCAAAGGTTGGATGATGATTAAGGTGGATCTGGAGAAAGCTTATGACAGAATTAGCTGGGACTTTCTCCGAGATACTCTTCAGGATGTGGGACTCCCCCAAATCTCATTAATCTTGTTATGTGGTGTGTTTCTTCTTGTTCGATGAATGTTCTTTGGAATGGTTCTACAACTCAGGAGTTTTTCCCATCCAGGGGGCTTAGACAGGGTGACCCTTTGTCCCCATATTTATTTATTCTTTGTATGGAGCGACTTGGTCATCTCATTTCCCATGCAGTTAGGCAAAAGTGCTGGAAGCCGATCATGTTGAGGAGAAATGCTCCTCCCATTTCTCACCTATTTTTTGCGGATGATCTTATTCTTTGTGCGGATGCATCCTTTGATCAGGCCCAAACCATTTCCAAGGTGCTAGATGATTTTTGTCTTTCTTCTGGGCAAAAGGTTAACCATGAAAAAACAAAAATTCTCTTCTCCCACAATGTGAATCATATTTTGGCAGAGGAACTTAGTGGTGAGTTGGGCTTCTCAAGGACGGTGGATCTTGGAAAGTATTTGGGTATTCCTCTTCATCATCGCAGAGTTGGGAGGGCGGCTTTCAGTCATATCCTCGATCGAGTTCAATCTAGGATTAATGCCTGGAACCACACCAGTCTTTCTCTAGCAGGAAGAATTACACTTTCGAAAGCTGTTCTCTCAGCTATTCCAGCCTACACAATGCAAGTTTCTGTTGTTCCTCTCGGAATCTGCAATGATATTGAGAAACATATTAGGAGGTTTTTGTGGGGTTCCAATAGAGCATCTACTCGTCCTCATCTGGTTGCGTGGGATCAGTTGTGCATGGATAAAGATCATGGAGGGCTGGGTCTGAGGAAAATGAAGGAAGTTAACAGGGCTTTTATTATGAAAATTGGTTATTGAATCCTTTCTAATCCAGACGCGCTTTGGGCTAGAGTTTTAAAGAGCAAGTATAAAGTTCAGTCTGATTTGGTTCCTAATATTTCTGCTACTCGGAATAGCTCATTTCTTTGGAAAGCAATTGTTTCGTCTTGGCCTGTGATATTACAGCATTCCAGAATTTTGCTAGGTAATGGAAATTCTACTCATTTTTGGGATGACCCGTGGGTTCCGGGTTGTGGTGCACTCTCATCCTATGCTGCTATTTCTGATCCCTCTCAGATAAATCATCAGCTAATGGTCTCTGATCTTGTCTCATCCTCCGGAAGTTGGATGTGGGGGGCTTTCCAGCATAGTCTTCCCGATCACGTCAATGCTCGTATTAATAACATCCTTCCTCCTTCGGATGTTAATGGTCATGACCGAATTTTGTGGACAAGGACATCTGATGGGAGTTTTTCGCTGAAGTCCGCTTATATGGCCATATCCAGGGGTAACGAGGAATCTACCAATTTACCTTGGAATCGCGTTTGGCAGTGGCATGGACCTGAACGGATTCGTACGTTCCTTTGGCTGTTGTTAGGAGATAAAATTTTGACAAATGAAAGGCGTTGCAGACGGCACATGGCGGGTTCAGATATATGTCATCTGCAATTGTTTTACGGAAACTTCCTTACATGCGGTTAGAGATTGTATTGCAGCAAAAAAAGTGTGGGAGATTGCAGTTAAGCGAGAGGCTTGGGAGGATTTTTTCTCTCTTAATCTTCAGCAATGGGTGTTGTCCAATATCTCTGAGGATCGTAATTGGTCCAATTTTCCATCATGGCCTCTTCTGTTTGGTATCATTTCCTGTTTCATTTGGCAAGCTAGGAATAAGAAAAAATTTCAGGGATCTTCTGTTCCTGCTTATGGCACTTTTAGAGCTGCTATGGTCTATGGTGAAGATTTTTCTTGGTCAGAAAACACGCTTCGGGTTGCTGGTCTTGAGACTAACTCGAATAAAGAGAAATTAGTTTCTTGGGTTTTTCCTTCGGACCCTTGGGTTAAGCTCAATGTGGATGGGTCAAGTATGAATAATGGAGAAGCTTCTGCTTGTGGGGGTGTATTTAGGAATGCTAGTGGAAGGTGGCTTGTTGGCTTTTGTAAAAATCTTGGCTGTGGTAATGTTTTGTTAGCAGAACTTTGGGGTTGTCTCCTTGGGCTTGAGATTGCATGGAGGAAAGGTTTCCGTTTTGTCTGGCTTGAAGGTGATTCCTTAGTAGCCCAGTTTTTCATAAGAGAAGGGTGCAGCTCTCATCATCCAGCCTCTAACTTGGTCTTGCGCATAAGGAATATGCTGGATTGGAATTGGAGGGTTAGAATTTCCCATATTCATAGGGAAGGGAATGAGGTTGTCGATTGGATGGCCTCTTTTGCCTACTCCTTTGATTGGTCTTTACAAGAGTTTGACTCGCCTCCTTCTGGTTGTCGTGACAAACTTGAAAGGGACTATGTAGGAGTAGTTTGGTCTAGGAGGTGTTCCTAGTTTCTTTTTTTGTTTTTATGTTTCCTGTTTGCTTTTCAAAAAAAAAACTTATCACTTAGACTCATTGTGCTTAAATAATTTATCATTTAACCTCCCGTGGTTTCAAATTTTCACTTAGACTTCTTGTGGTTAAAAATATTTTCATTAGACCCCTTGTTACAAAAATAAAATTTTTTAAAAATAAATAAGAGGAAAATAAATTTCTTCTCTTTTTTATTTCATATCCTCACCTAATGCATTTAAGGTTTAGAAAATAAAAATAAAATATAAAAAAATCCACTTATTTTTATCAAGAAAATAAATTCAAATCAATATTTTTATTTTATCTATTTAAAGAAAGTAAATATCTTATTTTGTTAATACATATTTAATTTATCATAAATAATATTTTTTTAATATTATCTTAAATATTTTTTTAATTTCGAATATATTTTTAAAATAAGAAAAGTAAGATAATTTATAAATTAATTTCAGCATAAATAACTTAAAATATTTTTCAAACCCTAAATGCATTAGATAAAGATATAAAATAAAAAAGAGAGAAAATTTATTTTAAATATGTTTTTAAAATGTTATTTTTTAAATCACAAGGAGTTCAAGTGAAAATTTTTGTAACCACAAGAAGTTTAAGTGAAAATTTGAAACCATAGGAGGTTAAATGATAAATTATTTCAGCACAATAATTCTAAGTGATAAATTTAAAACTACGGGTTAAATGATAAGTCAGAACACCGCAATGAGAGTGAAAATGAAGTTTTTCCTATAAAAAAAAAAGAGAGAGGGGTCTGTGTGCAGTTACTGATATTTTCACCCAGTCTAACGGTATATTCTGTTGTCACATGGCATCATGCCCTTCGATGCGGGGAAAAGAATCCCTCTCGTTGATTTAGTGCTCTAAAATAATGGCTAATCAACCATTGGAAACGTGAACTTTGGGTAACCGTTACTTTATATATAAAACTTGTCTTGAAGACAAGAACCTACGAGCCGCTATATTATCTCCTCGGACCTTAACCAAGTAACGAAAATTCAATTTGTGTTCCAAATTAAAATGAGTGTAGCGGTAGTGAACAGTTCAACCGTAACGGAGTTCGTGGATGACACAGCTACGTTTGATTGTTTCGTGAGAGAATGGTTTGCAATGGTAGATCAGAATGGCGATGGGAAGCTTTCGCGTGACGAAATCCGTGGTGGGTTAGGAATGCTTTTGTCTTTAGGTTCCGAATCACAGCCACAGCAAGACATTGATAGCGTGTTGGAATTGATATTCAAGAGGTTTGATGAAGATCGAAAGGGTGCACTCGTTCTGAAGGAGTTCAAGTCCTTAATGAAGGATATTATGCACGCCGTTGCTCGTGGGATAGGTGGCTCTCCCATCATTGTTGCTCTTGATAAACATAGCTTGCTTATGAAGGCTGCTCAACGTGAATTGGCAACACGTTCTTCTCCTCCTTGAATATTTTCATTATTAATTGTTATTCATATCTTTCTTTGTTTAGTTTTATTTTTTATTTTATTTTATTTTTTACCTGGTTGTTTTACCTTTATTTTATTTATTTTTCTGTCATTTTAATTTGTGTACATTTTCATTTGCTATGGTTATAAAGAATTGAATTGTTTGTTCCTTTTGTTGAGGGTATTCACTTCATTTAGACTTTAAAAAGTTCAAGATATGGTTTCATTCAAATTATTATTATCAACTGCAGATCTGATTATTAATCGTAGATGAGAATGTGCTCTTTCTTCCCTTTGATTTTTCTCTCTTCTCCCTACCCTGTTCTGGTCTGGTTTGTCATATGGTCAACCCTATCAGTTTTGATTTGATGATATAAGAGGAAGACAATGAGATATTATTTCCTAAGAAAAAGAAACTGAAAAACATTAGACATTATTAAAAGCTTACAATTCTGGCTTTTTGAACACTATAACTTTTTTTTAATAATTAATTATCAAATTAACTCTATTTATAAATTATTTCAAAAATTTAACTTCTCCAGAAAATATAACACCAATCTGCTCTTGTTTGAACTTTGATCATGAAGCCTACCCGAGTACACCCCTACCTACCCGGGTATATTTTGAAATTTTTTACCTACCCGGATACATCCCTCCCTACCCGGGTATATTTCTTGAATCTGGAAAAATGTTTGAATTATTTACCTGGGGTAGGGAGGGGTGTACCTGGGTAAATAATCATACTTTTTTTTGCAATTTTTACTTTCTACATGTACCGTGCCTTAGTTTGGTTTCTGAGAAATTCCAAGAAGGCTAGTAGAATGTTTTCGCTTATTTCATCTTGTTTGTGTGTATGTAGTTGTTCTACGCGTGTACTCTTTACTTTCTCAATGATTTTGTGAGCTTGGCGAAAAAGGTAAACTGGGATGGGACTGAAAATTTTGTGTGAAAATTCTGTTCTTCCGAATTCCCGAATCAACTATGATTAAATATTTTATGGTTATACTTTTGCTTTTGATGCTTGTACTTTATCGGGAACCATACAAGGTGATCTCATACGAAATTCATATTCATATTAGATTCTGTTTCTGAGGTTGATTTATTTCCAAGATTATGATTGACATGTTAGGGTCTTATTCATTGGTCACTGTTTCCTTGTATTTGATTCATATTCTGCTGTATACTCGTTCTTACTTTGGAACTTTGTGCTTTGATTGCTTCTGTTTTGTCTTCAAGAATCTTAGTTTTTTTGTTTCTTTAAAAAATGGGAAGCTTATTTGTAATTGGTTTTCCTTGGCACTACCTATTGGATTATTTACCCGGGTACACCCCTCTTTATCCGGGTAAATAATTCAAACATTTTTTTCCAGATTCAAGAAATATACCCGGATAGGTAAAAAATTTCAAAATATACCCGGGTAGGTAGGGGTGTACTCGGGTAGGCTTCATGGTCAACGGTCAAACAGGGACAGATTTGTGTTATGTTTTCTGGAGAGGTTAAATTTTTGAAATAGTTTATAAATAGAGTCAATTTGGTAATTAATTATTAAAAAAATACTATAGTGGTAAAAAAGCTTTACAATTCTCCTATTCATCTTCCAAATAATGAAGTAAGACATTAACTTTATTGAACTAAAGCAAAAAGAATGGATAAACGTCTTACACAAATAAAAGGATATATTAATCAAATTTAGTGATATGGAGAAGTAGAATAAAGCAGGAGGCCAACATGAATGAAAAGAAAATATAAATTTTATGTTCTAATTTACATATTAGCTGTCGAATAGAAAACTGGATAATGTGGAGAGTCAGTACTTCTACCATGATTTTTTAATGCATCTGAAATTCAAAGTTCAAGCGTTATGTATAGGATTTATGACTAGAGGGTAACCATCAAAAGATATAAAAAGGGACATGATATATAATTGATAATTGTATCTCTTCATTGTTTAATTGGAATGACTTGGAAAGTACTAGACTCCGAGTGCAACCCAGCTCACTAGCATACAGAATGCTTTTCAAGCCTTGTCAAAGGCGCAAATCAAGGAAGCCAACATTGAACTGTATGCGAAAGGCATTTTAGCAACGGGTGTTTATGATTGTACTGATAGAAGCCTCGTTTCTCTCTCTCACTATCAACGAATCCTTGTGTTCTCATCATTAAAAGATGCAAAAGTTCTATACTTTTGCCAACATCTCAGAGTTAACTACCCTCCAAAATAACCTTAAACATTGAACACAAATCCAAAATTTAACAACTCCATGCTCGCAAGTTCACTTTCCACTTAGCACATAAAGCCATAACACACAATTCTCCCCTCTCCCTGTAACTCTTACCTCTCATCCAAACCAAAAGAAAATCAAGTTAACTGACCATTAACTACATATATGGTCTGAGAAACAAACACAAACAAACATGATCCGAGGTTGTTTCAGCCAACCCAACACTCCATCAAGGTCAAGCAGCAGCACCCAATTGCCCCAGAATCTGGTAACATGTATATACCAAACTCAACTTTGCAACTCCCCCACGTACCTCACCCTCAGCTGGTCCAGAACTCTTGTCTCTCACTCCTTAACCATTTACGCCCCAAACACCTTCTCCATCACCATACATCTCAAGCCATCAACTTTCTCATTCTTACCAACACGACCAAGATCCAAATCCATCTACCTGACCCGGACCCTCAAACATTCCAAGAAAATCAAGCTTTACTGGGACTTTGCTGGAGCAGAGTTTTGTCAGAACTCGGCTGAGCCAGAGTCATGCTTCTACCTTGCAATCTGGTGCAATGGAAGGCTTGAATTCTCTCTGGGTGATCTTCTCACGCCACTTACTAGACACCACCAACCCGGTGATCAGGCTCTACTATCAAGGAGAGAACATGTGTTTGGAAGCATGAGTTACGCATCAAGGGGTGACTTCTTGGGTTCCAAACACAAAATAGAGATTGAATGCAATGGGGATGTGCTGAGAGTGAAAGTGGATGGGGAAGTTTGCTTGGTCGTTAAAAGGCTGGAATGGAAGTTCAGAGGGAACGAGAGAATCTTCATTGATGGTGTTGAAGTAGAGTTCTACTGGGATGTGTTGAGTTGGGTGGTTAATAGTAATGATGGCAACTGTCATGGTGTTTTTGTGTTTCAAGTAGGTGATGGCACCGTGTGGCCGGAAATGGTCGGTCCAGAGAAGAGGTTGATGAGGAAGAGCTTGTTGGGATCCACTATGGCATCTTCGATCATATCATTGTCGCCGTCGAGCTCTGGCGTGTTGCAGTGGGCGGAGGAGAGCAGTGACGGTGGGAGGAGCTCGTGCTCTTCATCCACCAGGTCGTGTGGTAGTGATGGTGGATTCTCTTTGTTGCTCTATGCTTGGAGGAGAGATTATAATTTGAAATTTTGGAACTGAGTTCATTGTTCATTTGCACTAATCATGATTTCGTTTGTGATTAATTTTCAACTCTTTCTGTGTTTCAATTAATGAAACCATCGTGTCCATAAGATTTCAAGTTTGAATTGCTCTGCTCTGGATTGGAGTGCACTTTCTTGTTGATAATTGACTTGCACACTCAAGTTTCTCTCTTGTACAAGCTATTTATGTTGCGAAAATTATTTATCACAAGTATCTCTTCAAGTTGTAGAAATAAAATAAATACGGTTTTAACAATTAAATAGAGGATATTGATTTCTTGCCCCCTGAACAAAATAGTGGTACTTTATGGTAACGCGTACGTTATAATGAAAATAATGAGTTTTATAACAATGTACTGATGATTGCATCCACAGAAGGATAAAATCGTTGTACGTTTAACTTGATATGTGTATGTGCTATTTTGTGACTGCAATTTTACATGGATATTGGATGAGTTTAGTGTGAACGATAATCACAATATTTTGATGGTGGACATTGCTTGGGTTTCCCCTCGCGGGTTGGCTTCTAACTTCTCAGAAACCCAATTCAGAAGTCACATTCATGAATCATGTAAGGCTCCTATACAAAGGTCAGAAGATCGTTTACTATAAACTTTAAAGTTTAAGGCAAAGCAAAATTGCAACCAGGCACCCACAGACCAGTGTCATTCCACCTTGGATTCCCCGGATCAATAATACCACATAGCAGTGTCAGACTCATAGACCCCCTTAGCCATCATAGAACGCAGAAAACAGATAGAAAGGTAAACATAGCTTTCTAGATTCTCTGCGGCAAGAGCTGCTTTATTTGCTCCTACCATTTTCTAATATTAAAGCAATCTTGGGTTTCAAAATTTGTGTGTAATGAATTTAGCATGTGAGGGAGGCCCATACCATAATAGTCTGGTTTGTTGAAACGGTAAAGTCACATTTTGCGATACCAAATCGGTCAATCTTCAGTGCTAAATGAATTCAAATAAACCAACTTTCACATGACTTCTATCCTGGCCTGAATTCCTTGGAGTCTCTATTGATATCTGGATTATTTCTTGGCTAAAAAGTAACCACAAAGTCTTCATAATTCATAAACACACCTAGAAGATGGTCTATTAAGCATCTACTCATACCAAGTCCACTAATGGCTCGTTTGTATTTGACTTGTAAAAAAAATCTTTTTTATGACTTCCTTATTTTAAAAGCACTTTCTATAAAAGTTATAGCTACTTAGATTTTTAAAAAATATTTGATTTTTGAAAAAAAATATTTGGCTTTTGACTTCTACTTTTTTTAGAAGTTAAAATTTTTAACTTCTGAAAAAAGTAATTTTTTGACTTTTTTTACAACTTCTGCTTTTTTAAAAAGCAGACATCCAAATAGACTTTTTTCGAAAAGTGTTTTTTCCCTTAAAAAAAGCAGCTTTTGAAGAAGAAAAATGCCATCCAAACCGGCCCTGAAGGTTCATTTCAAGCTTTAAAACAAAGGTAGTCCTGAAATTGATGGGGTGCAATAGAAAAATTGGTTGTGCTAACAGCATTATGGCGCTGAACATTATGGTCTGGAGATGCTCTAAGACTTGCTTTGCAATTTAATCTCAGCCCATCATTGTAGAAACGGACACACTTCTTTTGATACAAATGATGAAAACTGATCTTTCAACAGATAATATGGATTACGCCATGCTTCTTACAGACTACAAGGAAGTACAGAGAGGGCAACATAATGGCAAATGGCTATTTACTTGTTGGATGACTCTAGACCCATTTCATAATTTTAATGCATTTTTTCCTTACAAGCAAAAAGTAGAAAAACTAGTATTTCGAATCATGCAATTCTCTCGTTTTAGTGCAGAAGTTCTTTGAATTCTTCATGCTACATTTTGATCTACTGATAAACACTTGATGTTTCTCCCAACTAAAGCACCAGTAATACTCCTAGAAAATAAATAATCTCCAAGTACCCCTAGTTATACATACGCCTAGAGAAAAAATATACCAGATATTATGAAAAATTGATCGGTGTCAATTGCATCTTTAACAACTACATAATGTAAGAATCATTAGGGCTTTCATGAAATACACGTTACTTAATTTTACCCGGTGATGCCCGTCGTCAACTGCCAATAAAGTGTGACATGTGAATGAAACTTAATAACATTCAACCACCCGAGTTTTCAAACTTAAAGGCGAAAATCTGCAAAACTGCTTCAAGTGCAGAAACATTCCAACTCTCCACATGCCTAACAATCTGTCAAAAATGTTGCAACCACTAGTTAATATGGATCTCAAATCACATCAATCAGTGCAAAAGCATACAGCAGAGAGACAAAGATGCATTTTGATTCTGACTTTGAAATCTTCATTCAATTCATAATATGTGCTTCCATCAATAGAAATCAGAGGCCTCCAAGGAAGCTTTAAATTGGTCCTGCATATCAGACCCCAAAAAAGATCAACAAAGAAATTGAGAATTTTAATAGTGATGATGACATGGACTTGGGACCAGGCATGTAATCTTAAATATCTGCTTAAGCATTATTTCCTGATTATCAGTGATGCAGCAACTCTTTGGGGATCCTTTTAGTGCAAAACTATTTGTTTGTGTTAAAGGGAAAACGGTGCCATATATAGAAATTTTATGTATACTCAGAAACATCACTGTATTATTTCTATAATGGAATTATACCATACTGCTTTTAGAAGCATTTTGAAAAAAGAAATTTGGATGTTACATTAACACACATAAGGATCAGGGTAAGCACCTTAATTTCCAAGTTGCCAGCACAAAATTTGTTTCAGAATCAACATCCTGCATTATGGATTTATATAATGAGTGAAGCATGAAGCTGTATCTTTTAAGTTGACAGTTAATTTCCTTTCAGCTGTAGGTAGATCCAGAGACTAATAAAAAGAAATTTTATAAACACTAAATAAGAAGAATGATAAACCTTCCAACTCTTTATCTTTTAAAAGTCCAATGTGATAAGGTGTTTAGGGTTTACATTGACAGAGGCCTGAGATTACCAGCTATACTAACGAGCAAGACATGATAGGAACTAACATAACAAGAAGAAAAATGGGCCCTTACGATAAAAAAGAAACAGATCTTTATTAAGGGTCCAAACCCCACCCCAAATGGGTATTATCTAGACCATAGGTTTCGGTTTGAAATTAACACCTTTGGATTAGATAATGAATACTGACCGTCACAGAATCACAGGTAAGTGGAACTAAATTAAAATTTCAATTGTCAAGATTTTCTGACAATCAAAGTTTCTGGTTCAATAATAGGCTGCACTGAGACAACTTAAACTGATAACTCTCTTAATATGGACCTTCAAACTCGGTTCAAAACAAGTCTTTTTACGTCTCTAAAACTTGATCATTTTCTCCATAAAACTATGGAATAGAAAAAGTCCAAACACTAAAAAGAAGTACCCCATGGCAATAGTCTGATTCCAAGTCCCATGTTCCCTCTTCCCCCAAGTTGTACATTGCTCCAGGTTTTACTAAAAGAAGCTCAGCCTTAGAAACAAAGGAAAATAAAATGTTTTCTCAGATTGAATTAGATAACTTCCAATTAGAGTCTTCTTTAACTAACTTTTACGTATAATCTAAACAAGTCTAGTGACTAAATGGTTTTAATGAGAAAGATCCAAAAAGAGAGCACTTTTCTTTTCCACAAAAGAGAACCCTTAGACAAGAGTTCCATCGGAGACACAATCAAGGCTGCATGTTTCACATTGACCAGTCTATTAATATTGGATAGCCCGTCTCATGTAGGTACTACTTATGGTTTTACAACTAATATAAAATGTTAATTTACAAAGAAAATCTACCTTCTCAATCTTTTGTAGTCTAATTGACGCACAGTCAAAGAAGGGAACAAGCAATTTCAAGTTGCGCGCATATAACTCCCTACCTGTATGACCATGCATTATAGCTTCAGTTGATTGACACATTTTCAAAGTGATGGTTTTTTCTTCAATATTTTTTTTTTTTTTTCAGTTAGTTCCTGTAAGCTTTTAAAGATTTGAAAACAGCAGAGAGAGAGAGTGAGTGTGTGACAGCAATGTGTAACTTAGGTTGCTGATCAAGCTGCCGATGAAATGTACAAGAAGAGACGAGAAGCCAAGCACAACAGAAAGAGTACCATATTGGTAAAAGCTGTGATTCTTACCGCGAAATTTAATAGTTGGGTCTTCAAAAATACAGTTTGGGGCATAAATTGAAGAAGTGAAGTTCCCTAGTTGTCAAACATAAGTGAGAAATGGGTCCGTTAATTTTAGCCGTAAATGCTATAATTTTTCTATTCATTCCTGCATGCTATTATAGATACTATCAATGTGACTAGTAGTCTATTTTAAATTGATTATGTTGAAAGATTTGAAAATCCAAATCATAATCATACAAAAGTGGAAATAAATATAAACTATTAAATATGAGTAGAAGAAAGAAGTTTTTAGAAAATTAAATCAAAACCGTTGGATCATCATAATCGATCTAACGGTAAAATAAACTCGCTGTGACATTGTTAGTGTCAATATCCTATCTCATATAGAAATAAAAAAAAAATGGAAATTAAAAAGTACTAGCAAAAAGATACTAAATTAGGGAGCATTAGTAAAAAAGGGAAGAGGGGGGGGGGGGGGGGGCACCTGTAACAAAATAAGCGTTCTCATAATCAGATTTGATGATCATTAGAACATCATCGACGCTAGAAACTGAAAATTCATCTCTCTGTTTCTCAATATCTCCACTCAAAACGCTGCACATTAATAAGCGAGAGTGGGACTCAACAAGTAATAGATATGTTGATGATAAGTAAAGAAGATTGTGGATTGCCATGGCAATTTGCATAGACACCTTGTTTGATTGGAAGGAGAGAAAAGCCTCAAGAGCTCCGTCACTCCGCTCACTGCTATTTTCAATATCTGAGGGGTTTCGGTTTCTCTTTTTCTGTTAAAACTTGTATTAGTCTTTCTGCTATTGGGTGTATTACTGTTTGAGCAGCATCGGTATTGCATGCCGTGAAACCTTCCCAACTGCAAGTGCAACGTCATAAGCTCAATCAGAGATTCAGAGAAGCATCAGTTAACTTTGAAAATCTGAATTCACCTCTCTCTCTCTATCTCTCTATCTATACCTGGTAGTGTAAAGGTAGTGGAGGAGGTTTTCCACTGAACCAGCATATTGTTGCCATTTCCTACGACCCCTTCATTTAGATTTTGTTTCACAAAGGTTGTTTGTGTTTCAATTCACCACCAGCATGGACCACAATACATACACTCGCATAATTAGTTGTGTGGCTAAGCCTCCCTCACTCACACACACACAGACACACTTTACACAGTCTACTTCATGCACGTGCGGGTGTACGAGTGAAAGGGCCTTGGGCCGGTAAAGTTGGTCTAAGATTTTACAGCCCAAGTGACAGATTCATTTCATTCGGCATGCAAAAAAAAAACCCTAGAGCACGAATGAAATAACATACTCCGTGGTAAAGAACAAAAAAGTTTTACCCTGGGACACTTCAAACGATAAGTATCACTACTGAAGGTGATTTGTCAAAATATTTAGTGGCAATTGGTCATATTTAATATACTTACAAACATTTATTGAAAAACCAGCTATTAATAAAGGGATTATCATATTGTAAGAAATAATTTTATCTCTTACACATACATAAAAGTATATAATACCCATATTTTCTTTCTCTCTCTTGCTTTCACATTACTTCAGATGAACCCCACACATTTTTATACGTGTACAAAAGATAAAATTATTTTTTACACAACAAATATGATACTCATAAAGGTATAGCAAATCGCAGCCATATTGCACCCTCCACAGAAGGTCACACATACTTACAATGAGAATTGAATTATGTATAATGGAACGAAAAAGGTATTCTTACAACATATATGAATTCTCTTGTACAGTGATCAGTTACTGGAGGGCATTAACTCAAATTATTTTAGTGCTAAATTTCAGTCCAAGAGAAACAATTACAGCGTCAAGAATGTCGGGATAGGAATTGCAATTTATAGAGACCAGATTTCACAACTATAAACAACACTACTTGCCGCGAGACTACCAATTCTGTAATTACTTTTCGATTGAATATACAATATAAAATGTTACATGCATAAACAACAAGCTTACTGCATGCAAACGTGACAAATTATCTTGAAATTTCTCTCATACTAGACTCAATTCATCTTTAGTATTTGCAATTTTAAGGTCGTCTTTAAACTCAGCTTCAAGTTCCTTCCGCAATGCCACCAATGTTTCTCCGGCATCGCAGATATAGGCCGAAGCTTGCCTGCCAGACAAGGTTGCACCTTCCATGCTGTCTATATAATCCTGAACAAATTAAATGTTTCAGCGGTGCAAGCAGATAAAATTAATATAAGTCAGCAATATCAATGAAATTTAGATATCACAAATGCTGTGAAACTGGAGAGAAAAATACAGCAATAGTTGGACAAACACAGCAATAATTGTAACAGCAAGTTGGGATTTAACGGGGAGTTTTTTTTTCATGCCCCATACACTACGACTAGAATACTGGTTAAGTTTGATAAAGATGTTGACAAGCATAGTAAAAAATACAATCCAGGACTTATTGTTAGAGTAAAAAAAAAAAAGTGCTCCTTCATTTTCTAAAATCTTTTCATGTGTCATACTAGAAGCCCAGGAGGCAGGAACCTCCATAAGACTTAAAGATTAACTGACTCCTATATAGGAACTCATACATTTTAGCCACAAAAAATCTTGATAGCATGCAATTTTGAGGGGTATATCTTGTATGCATAAGAAAAGCACAAGTATAACGCAAGTCAAGAAGGTGCAGAGTATTTGAACTTACCTGCTTTGTGTAAGAGCCAGCAAGAAAGAAATTCTTCACTGGTGTCTTTTGATCAGGTCTAAACGGATCTTTACCAGGTCCCTCGCGGTAGAGAGATTGGCCAATTTTAACAACAGATGACCAAGTCACTTCTAAACCTTGAGATGATGGGAACAGTGCTAAAACCTGATAAAGATTTTTAAAATCAATGCAATGGCAATTGAAATGAATAATTACCATTGAATTAAAACACCAAAACTGACTTTTGTGAGACATAAAATGATCCCATACTACGATATTTCAGTGAAAACATTTATCAAGCATTTACTATTAATATATCATATGACACTGAATGCTGAAATAACAAAACAACTCGACACACAACAAACACGCTCCAGCTACTAAAACCAAAAGCATGTGAATAAGCTCGTTGTTTTAGATGAACATTTTTCATGTCACTACTAAATCAACAATGAAAAGGTCATGAAATAGAGTAAGAGAAATGAACTTTTTCTAACCTACCTGTTTTGCTACCCTTGCAATAATTTCATCATTTGGTAAGGGCATGTATGGATCTCCTGGCGTCAGAACACATCTGACAGATGAAATAACATTACATGCTTAGAAGGTAAATACAAAATCAAATATTATATGAATGCTGATGACCGAATTTTAATCCCAAGTGAAGTTAGACTTGGTATAAGAAATTAGAACCGCTAAAGCTGGTGCATTCACCAATAACAGATATAAGTTGTACGATGAATTGATGATGCTGTTTCATCCACTGCAAAACATGCTTAGTCATGCATGATTTCATGCATAAACTGTTGGAAAATGGAAATGATAACAGTAGATATTATAGCTTTATAAAAAATAGGGATACATGAAGCATTGGGAACATTAGGATCTAAGAAAATACTCCAATTCTCTATTTTTCAATGTATATAAATATGCGTTTGCTAAGAGCAAAAACACCCAAATAATTCACAGAAATCTCTCTTGAAATTTACTCTCAAAAAAAAAATCATGAACGAGAGAGAGAATTTAGAAGTGTGACTGTAGATACACACAAATACTTACTGGAGCAACGATCCTTGTCCCTCAATGTAATAATCTTCAGGAGATGTAAGTGCAAGGTCTGCAAAGCAAGAAAAATCAGCATCGGGAGTATAGAGAAGGTTATCTAATCCAATAGCTTTCCTCAGCTGCCTGCCACCCACAAAGTAAGGGTTCATAAAGAAGTTGAACAATAACAATCAACAGAAAATATATCACTCCTCATTCTTAAAACCAAAGTATCTCACTTTATAGTTTCTGTATAAGCCCTAAAATTCAGAGAATTACCTTGACTTTTCTAGATCCTGCAACTCTGTAACCCAACCATTGAATCTGAGTTGCACTGTGACCACAGGAACTCCAACTAGTTCATATATGTTATTGAAAAACTCCTCTTCCCTCCACTCAGATGGAAGTAATCTTTTAATTCCAGGGACATCACAAGCTGATATCAAGTCAATGACAGTTTGAGACTTTGGATTGTAGCCAATATGGAATCAATACAAAAACCAAGGATGGGTATAAACTACTAACCAGCAACATAAGCATCAGCTTTCACAATTTTCTTGGCGGTAGCCTGAATTGATAAGGTACTAACTATATAAGAATTTGGGAATGTCACTTAAATTAAAACCAAGCATGTAAAGATTTCAAAACAGAACACATAAAGCTCATCACCTTTGACATGGAAAGTCCTCTAACATAAGTGCTTCCATCAGCAGATTTATCGTAAAGTATTTCTCTGCATCCCCACCTAAGATGGAACCTGTTCCAGCAAAGAATGAGAATCTAAATAGGAATAAATTTGGGTAGTCAAGATGGAAAAATTCTCATATCTAAAACCATACCTGCCCCCTCTATCTGTGATGTACTTCCGGATAGGGCCACTCAAGTAAACATCTGGTGAACCCTTCAACATTCGTAAAAGGGAAGCCTCAGTCTTCGTGGCAAACAATGCAAATATGGTGAGCATACAACGGGCACTGATATTATCACAGTCAATGAACCCAAGGGCATAGGCAACCGGATCCCACAATTTTTGAATACTCATGCGTGTGCCACCTTTGGATAAAAACCAGTCGGAAAAGCTAATCTGTAAGAAATGTGTTTAACGGTTAAAGAAACAGAATTTGACGATTACGACAGAACATTGGCAAACACAGTCATTACAAAGTGAAACAATAAACATAGAAAAGAGGGCAAGTATTGGTATTTTATTTCATTTGGTATACAGCCCAAAGCTGAAAGACTCTTCCCACTTACTCCTTTTGTATGTGTGTGCATGTGCATGTGTGCTGTGTGGATGGGCATGCAAATGTGTAGGAACAGGTGGAAGTAGCTCATATATAAAGCTGAGAAGACAAATAAACAGGAAACATCATTTGGAAATACAGACCAAAAATAATACGAAAATAGCATATCCTCTTACACTATCCAAATTCCTTATGTCCCTCAATGCACCATCTGGATCAACAAGAGCTTTGACAACTGGACTCAGTGCAAGAGCCACAGCATTTCTAGCCTTATCATAGGTCTGTTCATAAACAATATGTGAAGTTAGGTGTCTAGAAAGTCCAATTGAGGCTAATGAACAATATATACTTTTTTGGGTATACAATTATATTATTTTCTAGTTCTGTAAAATACTGGAGAGCAAGTCAAGCAATCTAAGCAAACATGGTTATAGAATACACAATGTGATTATTACCTTAAGCTGATTTGTGGACAAGAAGGCCCTTATCCCGTGTAATGGTGCCCCAACCGGGAAGCGAAAATCTAGTTCTGCACTGGAAAACTAAGTTATAGACAATGCATCATGAAACCGTTATCTTTTCATAAATTGTGGCACTCTCATTGAATGTGAAAAACAACAAGAAAAATGAACAAAAACAGAGCAAAGTATTGCAGCCCAAAACATACCTCCAATTTGACCCCCTTTGTTTACAAAAGTGTGAGTGTGATCCTTCACAAGTAGATTGTTATTTGCACCCACCTAGTCCAAGCATAGATGAAGTAAAAGTTATTAGATGGACCAATACAATGAAAATTGACACATCAAGTAAAGTCAATAGTACAAGTTTCATGACCAAAAAAATACAGGTTCTAAAGATGAAGAAGAGCATGCATCATGTTATGACTGCAAGTAATACCTTTTTCATCAATCGGAAAAGATTGCTGTAGCAACCAAAGAAAACATGCAGTCCCATTTCAATGTGATTTCCACGTTTATCAACAAAAGAACCAACTTTGCCACCAATAAAAGACCTCGACTCATATATATCAACCTGAATGAGATAAAATTTTGAACAAAACATAATAAATTCAATACATTAGCTTGAACATCATATCCTAACGCATTCCACACCACGATTACAAAAAAGTAATCAAAGAATCCACTCCCCTCTGCTTAAAAAAATAACTTATATACCATGGGAGTGGATCCTCTCATGTGCTAATTAATATAACCATGTCATGTGGGGCAATCATAACCATACATGGGTAAGTTAATGGTGATAAGGGAGGAGAGAAAAAAAATATAATGATAGAAAGTTACACAATTATCACCGTTGATTTAATTATTAATAGTTAAGATCCTCCCACATGACATATGATAATGTTAAATTACACATGAGAGGATCCATTTCGATATACCATACAATCCAACTTAAAAATATTATGATATATCAGTAGACCATTAAGACAAAGAGACAGATAGAGAAGGAGCTAAACCTCGTGCCCTTGATCCAAGAGTTCTACTGCAGTTGACATGCCCGCAAGCCCAGCTCCAATAATAGCCACTTTCAGCTTTGGTCCTCGATAATGTTCAGGTTCTGGAGGAAACAGCCCTTTTGGCGCTGGCAGGTGAACCATCTCATTTGTCAAACTTACAGTTTAAGAAATAATGCCTAAACTTGATAAAAATGTACAATCAGATGCATAAAATCACAGGACTTCCCCCCAGTATGGAACCTGAATACCATCTTGCACAAACCAGTTCTCACCCAGCAGAAACCACAGAGAACCACTAACAATTCATGTCAAAATTACATGCGGCACAAGATTACAGTTACAGCCCCTTGACCTTAGATACCAGAAATTATGTTACTTAGTCCTTACTAAGCTTTTAATTTTCTTAATCTTCCAACACTCCCCAAAAAATACATAAATAAAATATAAAAGAATAAGATACTGCAAAGGGGAAGTGTAGGATCCAAAATTGAATTTGAAGTCCAAATAATTTACAAAATTCCACAAGTTTCACCGCACACAGAGTACCAATTATTGCAGGAAAGAAATGAAAATCAGCAAAGAGAAAGGATTACTAACCGTTAATACTCATGTCGGAAACATTAGTATCCAAAGAGCAACGAACCCGACACTTGTGCATCTTGGTAAAACGGCTACTGCTGGGGACAAAGAACCTAACAGAGTGTCCTCGAGTTCCGGAGAGGGAAGTTGCCGGACAATGAATCAACGAAGCCATAATCGGACAAAGAAAAAGAACAAGCGACTTCGTTGGAAAAGGGACAAAGAACTATGAGGGTGTGCTTATGTATAAGAAAGAAACAACATAAATTGGAGAGTGAACCGTATTAGGAGGATGGTATGGTATCTGGCTACGTAGGATGGAGGAGATGCTGGGATTGGTAAATTTGTCCTGTAGTGAGGGGATTAGAGCTTGTGAGTTGTGACCGCACGGAATATTGGAATTGAATTATTACTATAAATAAATGGAATTGAATATGTTTCCTAATCTACCTAGTCGTCTATGTATTAATCGAAAATGGAGGTGCCACTGCCATTAGCGACAGATAATGGACCAACAAATTTCGTTGGTCGTTGCTTGTTGTTTTCGACACTCGACAGTGGAGGGTGGAGAGAGAGAGAGAGAGAGAGAGACTCACTTTGACACTTACCAAACTTCGTCCTTTTTTTAATTCCTCCTTGTTATTGTAATCTGCGTTACGTGTCAAGTTGTCAACTACTGGTATCCTAATCTTTTATCCACCTATGGCAAGTGCTGTACCGTCTTAAAAAATCTTTTCAAATTTTTTTTCTAAACGACTTCTTTTATTAAAAAAAAAATTATTTAAGAAAAAAAATTATTTCCAAATCCGGTATCAAGAGTTAGGACTATGAATAAAAGTGGGCTGAGCTGAGACAAGTTTTGTCCAGAAAAGTTTAAGTCTACATCAAAAAAAAATTAATTTGGCCTGGCCCAAGCCTAATACGAGTCTAATTGTTAGCCTGACTTGTCCGTTTATAAAAAAAAAAAACAAATGGTCTGACCTAGCCCGTTAGCATATTAATTTTTTACTTCCAAGCAGAACCATGAATCAACTCTACAAAATACTCAAATTCTGTTGTTAAACCAGAAATCATAATTTCAACGTCCAAACAGAATCATGAATCCCAACAAAACTCATACAATCTGTAATTAAGTCACTTTCAAAAACAAAATGCTCCAACTAAATAACATATATTTCATCATATCCAACAAACAAATCCATACTATATAAATTAAAATAACTACATGAATCCAACAAACACATCATGATGATTGTAGTAAGTATAACATCTCCTAAAAATCTTTTAATATATTCATATACACAATCTAACATGCTGAGATATTGGTTCCTCCTACGTAAGAAATAAAGTCAGATTTCTATTAAAACATAATTGAATATAATTAAGTTATAAATAATTACAATTGATTAAATTTATATTTTTTATTTTTTCTTCGAAGCATACTTATTTTATTTTATTTTATTTAAAAAAAATAATACAATATAGGTCGACCTGTAGGCTTATAGGTCAGGCCTTGTGAAAGTGAATCTACGGTCATTTTACTAAATAAGCTTTTTCAAGACCCAAGCTCAATTATAAAATATACTAAGTTAAGTCTGGATTGACATAGATCAAAGGCCGGCCCCGGCCGAATTTCACCCTAGTTACGACCATACCATTTTTATTTTTGAGTCCATTGTAATGTTAGAGCAGAAAACACAATAAAGGCCCAAAAGTAAAGGGCCCCAAACCATGCAATACAAAAGTGTAACCTAACACGTAGATCAGAATGGACGAAGAGCGGATTCTTGGGTCGAAATCCCACAAATCTATGGAATCTTCAATAGCAACTAACCATCGCCGTAAGTGGAGAACTAATACAAAGTTTAGGCCCAGTTTTAATGCGATTGGCAATTCAAAGGCCCTAAGACCTTGCTTCATAGGTATTTCAAGTTGCTCTTGATCCTTAACGAGTCTTTATCAATCTATCCTAGGAAGAAATCAATGGATTTCAATATTTGTTCATTTATTTCTTACATTTAGTTAGGTTGCTTGCCAAAAGAGGAAACTACAGTAAGAATAAAATTCACCGTTTTTCAAAGAAAGAGGCATATAAGTTTAATAGCTGACCCGTGGGTTGCATCACCCAATTGCAAATAGATTTTGTACTGTGTCGCAGAAGCTCAAAATGAGCACCGTCTTGCCGGGGCCAGAGGCCCAATGTTGATTGATAACGCAAAAATTAAAATAAACTCTATATTAATAAAGAATTTTATTAGATGAATTTTCCATTTAAAAATCAAAGAATATATATTTTTTACACTAGTCAAATGAATAATTGAAAATCATTTACAGGATTTTTAGAAAGAAAAACATTTATGATCACTTTTATTAAAATTTGGCTTGCATTGTTCTGAAATATTTTGAATAATTCGAATAATATGATGATTAAGATGGGACGAAATGCATAAGAATCAATACAGTAAAAAATAAATTAATATAATTTTATTTCACAATTCATTTAAGTTTTCCTTAAACTTTGATGGTTAGATAAAACTAAACATTTACAACTATTAGTTTAATTAACTTGTAACACTCAATGTATAAAAAAAAGGTTCGTTTTTTCTGTAGTAAGTCCAATACGACGTCGTTTTAGGACATAAATCACGGTATTTTTGTAATTTTAATTTATCTCAGGATTATTATAGTCTTTATAATTATAATTTTTTAATATTACAATCCCAAAATGACGTTGTTTTGATAGTAAATGCAAATAACTTATTTAGCAGAAATATTTAAAAAAAAAAACTTGTAACACTCAAACTTAACTATATTTTAGTTGCTTTACTAAAAAAAATTATTATTTAATTTAACGAAATAATTTAACCTATATTAAAATTTAAAAATTAAATCAAATTTAAATTATCTCATCATGTATTATATAAGATTTATATTCAATTTGGTATCTTATATATATATATATATATATATATATATATATATATATATATATATATATGTGTGAGATTTATATTTCTACAACTGTTGTACATGCAGCAATCAAATACTTGCCATATATATACTCTAAGGCATTAAATGCGGGATATCATAACCATACAAAGGATGAAAGCATTAAATGTGAGAAACCATAACCATACACATGTCGTTGATGTACGTAAAGCGGCTGCAGAAATGATTTTACCTATATATATATATATATATATATGTATATATATATATATATACATATATATATGGGTTTCATGAGTGTCAAGTCAGTGGATATAAACATTTGTCCAGTCACTAAATCATAACCGTACAAAAGTGAATCAATGGTGATAAAAGAAGAGAGAAAAAAAAGGAATCATAACCATTCAAATGTGAATCAATAAATATAAAAAAATAAATAAATAAACTTCAAAAAAAATATATATATATTATAAACTTCAATCCATCTTATGTTAAAATCAGTAGTATGAATAAAATTGATCATTAAAATTATAAAATTTAAATTAAACTAATATTATTCTAATCATATTTTATTAGAAGTTGTAAGAATAAGATTAAAAAAATGTAATTATGAAACTAAAAAATAGTTTTCTCTTTTTTTTGGTGGAAAAACATTTTTCTTTATTTAAGATCAATATATGTATTAAAATATGTACTTTTTTAATTTACAAAATTAATGCAATTTTCATTGCGATTTGCTTAAAAATTTTAGAAAAATATTTGTAGAAAAATAAATATTGAAAGGTTGAAAATAAGAAAAGTAAGAGAGCATAAATGAAATAAATAAAAAGTTAATAAAAATAGATAAAGTAAAAATATAAAATAATTTTTTAAAAGAAAAAAGTGAAATGTGATGTGACAATTGTAATGAAAACTTTTTTTTTTTTTGTAAGTTGAAAACTTTTTATAGTATGTATACATCCTAGGATGTTAGGTCGCATTACGTGAGCAGTGAGCTTGCACTTACTAATTAAAAGGGCATTTCCGTTGAAAAAAAAGAAAAGGAGTTTTCAACATCATCGAACTAAGCCACTTCGGGAAAAAAAGAAAGAAAGAGAGAGAGAACCAGTTAAAAAGGATCCTCATCCTTATCGTTTGCATTAAATAACGCAATGAAATTTTAATAATAATTATAACGTAGCTAGCCACTAGGCCTACGAAAGCTTTTTGAGAAAATTTAATGGGATGATGTCATACGCTTTCGATGTTCCAAAATATTAAAGACAAGCTTAGCTGGGTGAATTAACGATAGTGTGTGTGATTGCTAGCCACCAATTGCCTAACCCAACTTTCTGGGGACCCCAATGGCATTTGCACAATGGCACACACACTTAAACATAGACCAAACAAACAAGGGAAGAAGACTCTGCTTTTGAAATAGATAAAAGCTAAACGTACGTACCGCGTACACGGCTGGGGAAGAAGCAAACAAGGTTTTTTTAGTACATGTTGTTGGGCTTCCTCCTTCAATACTAAGTCCAAGTCTATTTGAGTGGTTTCCTAAAAATTCTAACCCTAATTTTCACCTCCTCTATATATACTCATTAGTTGTGGGTGGAGGCTAAGGTCAGATTTGAGAGAACAAATTTGAGAGAAAAATTGTTTGATTGTTTGAGTAAAGCTTTATGCTTTGCATTTGAGAGATCTCTAGAGAGAGTTTGAGTGAAACACCTCTAGGGTAGTTTGATTATCACCATTGTTGGAGAGGTTGAGTTAACCACCACATTGGTGTATTTGATTATTTGTAACTATTATTTTCATAGTGGATTTCTGATCTGGACTAGGTCCCGTGGGTTTTTACTTCTTCATTGGAGAAGGTTTTCCCACGTTAAATCTGGTTGTGTTCTTCTTCTCTCTCTCCTGTTTTTGTTTTGATTTTTTCGCTGCGCTGCCTGACCTGGTGAAGTTCGGGCCGAGGTATTGCCGAGATCCGAGATCAGGATCTTGTTGATTGACTTCCGCACAAAGGCTGCTTAGCCGATCTGAGGGAACCGAGTTTTCCCAACAGTGGTATCAGAGCCCGAGTTCGACGAGTTCTGAAGGAGACGAGATGGAGACCAGTGACATAACTCATGATGGAGATATGTTCAAGTTGACCGCAGACAATTTCACATATTGGAGACCGATGATGGAAGATCATCTCTACTGCAAAGATTTGCATGAGCCCAATATCCTTGATGAGAGACCAGCAGGCAAGACAGATAAGGAGTGGGAGATCCTGAGTCGAAAGGCGGTAGCCACGATCAGGAAATATATTGATAAAAGCCTCTTTGAGCACGTGTCTGAATTCACAAACGCGTATGAGTTGTGGACGAAATTAGACTCCATGATTCAGAAGAAGACTCCCAGGAACAAAGCACACCTGGTTCGCCGACTTGTTAAGCTTGAATACAAGGACGGCATGAGCATGATTGAACACCTGAACACCTACAAAGGTATTGTGAATCAGCTGTCAAAGGCTGATATGAAAATTGATGAAGAATTGCAGGCATTGCTGCTGTTGAGCTCGCTGCCAGAAAGCTGGGATACTCTGGTGGTGACCCTGAATAACTCGACTCCAGATGGAAAATTGAAGATGGATGTCG